TGCACCTTTAATGGCAAGTTTATAATGCTGTCTCTTATACACATCTAGATGTGTATAAGAGACAGCTTTTGGAACCTATTAATTGAAGCTCGACCACGCCCACTTTGCTTTCGTTGAGGAAATCTGACCCCTCGTCGGGGCTCCGGCCCCCCGGTCGGGGACCTCGCCCCCCCCCCCGTCGGGCAAATCCTGTTGCCACCTCTGGACCCCACGCCCAAAGAACCCCCCCTTGAAATGACCTGGCTACGGGCCTGCTAATAGAGGTAGTCCTATTCAAAGGACACTAACCAACAAAAAAAAGTGAAATTGTCCCTTTAACTTAAAGGGACAACCCTTAGTAAGGGTTTCGGCATGCTGTGCGACGAACCAATCAGTCAGTGATATATTGAGATCCTCATGCGTAGGCCTACAGGCAACCAGTGTACTTGAAAAAGAAGTGGAGATGTATGTGCAGGTGGTTGGACCATGCAATTAAGTCTGGCGGCAGAGTTCCACAATTTCTGTATTCGTTGAATCTCCTTCTGCTGAGGCTCACTGTAGAGTGAATTGCAGTAGCCAAGACGAGATGAGAGCTCGCACAGCACAGCATGACATGTATGTTGGTCAATAAAGCGCCTTATTCTCCAAAGATTTCGCAGATAGACGTTGACAACACTGCAAATCTTAGTCACTTGTGAATTCATGCTAGCAGTTGAGTTGAACATTACGCCAAGATTACGAAGATTGGTGGTAGGCAATATTATCATGCTGCCATTGATATTAAGCTTGGTGTCTCGGACTTCATTTAGAGAAAAGTGAAGTTTAGAGGCACATACAAAAAATTCCGTCTTCTCATCGTTTAACTTGAGTTTGTTTATATAGCCTACCTCTATGGTTTACCGACATCCACTTCTGGGCATGCAACTGGTAAGTCGATTGGTAAAATAATTGGTTGGATTAAATGGTATGTATATCTGTAAATCATCAGCATACATGTTAAACTTAACACTAGGCGAATGCAGAATGTCACCAAGAGGGCGGATGCAGGGACGTAGCCAGGATTTTGAAAGGGGGGGGGGGGGGCCGTTATGCGAATTACGTATGACCCCGGCGGGGTCAAGTGGCGAATCCCCCTGTGAAGTCTGTCTCTTATACACATCTAGATGGATAATGTGAAAATTGCAATAGACGCATTATAAATAAGCGCAAAAATAATTATATAATAAATCAACAGTGGCAGATCCAGGAATTCGAAAGAGAGGTGAACCAGGGAGGGACTTTCACAGACCGAGGAACCACCCACCTCAGCCCACCAGGGTTGCCCTAATCATAAAAAAATTTATGATTAGGGCATCTCTAGATGGCTGGAAATTACACTCTCGCACTTCAATTTGAATATATATATATTTTTTTCCTTAAACAAATGAAGGTGGTGGGGGGGGGGCCTTGAATCCACCTCTGCTCAAAACATTCTTTATCCAGAATGGTCATAATCACGAAAAATGGACATGAAAAACCAGATCACATCCTAAAAACAAACATCAGTCACTAAGACATACATCAGGAGCCGACTCGATGGAGTTTAATGTCATACCCAGGGAAGGGCACAGATCTGTTTTGAAAGGTGGAGGGGGAGGGCATTTTGTGAGTTGACACCCACCTCAGCAGCCCCACCATGGTTGGAGCTGAGGTGAGAAAATTTGAGGAAATAGTACCTCTAGATGGCTAGAAATGACACTTTTAGTAAAATTCATCATCATCACATCACCATTAGTCAAAATGAAGTGCCAAAAAAAATTGTCATGATCTTTCATCAGGGATTTTTGACAACCATAGAGATCTTATTAATGTGTGTGTGTATACCATAGAAAACAAAGCTTAAAAACATTGTCTTTGAGTATGTACTTTACATAGGCATACTTCAAAAACGTGATTTCACAACCAGCCATGGTGGGGCTGAGGTGAGAAGATTTGAGGAAATAGTACCTCTCGAGATGGCCGAAAATGACACTTTTATATAGTAAAATTCATCATCATCACATTACCATTATAGTCAAAATGAAACGCCAACAAATTTCTCATGATCTTTTATCTGGAATCTACTTAATATCCAGGACAACTTAGGCCTGATTATAGCTTACTAAGCTTTAGCTGTATATACTATAGTATGATCAACAAACTTTTTTTTCGCATTTAGAACAATTTTCTTCACTTTTTATTGCTATTAATATTATTATCAATTATTACTATCGTCATCATCATCATTGTTATTATTATTCCTATTAGTAGTAGTATTATTAAACAAACATTTAAAGAAACTTGCAAAAGGATAAAAACGAAATTGAACCACAGTATCGCATTTCTATCTTAAAAGACCTGGCCTGAGATTTATGGATTTAAGATTTTTTTAAATCACGCTTAGGCCTATGTGTTCTATTATGCCTATGTATAACTTGTACTGATGCATATTTACATGTTTAAAAGTATTAATTTTGAAAGAATTTGTATTGGCTCAAGAATAAACTTTAAAAATTTAACACTGTGTACAAAGGGGGGGGGGGTAGCCGCGGCTCCCACGGCTCCCCCCACCCCTGGATACGTCCCTGGGCGGATGTAGGCCTACATGGTGATAGACAAGGGCCAACAACAGAACCTTGGAGGAGTCCAGGGGATGAGGCGTGGAATGCATGTCAGCAACACGTACACGGCTACTTCGGTTGCTCAGGTATGATTTGTCAGTTTGGTTATACCAAATGTTCGTTCTAAACGAGATCGATATTGATGGTCCACGGTATTGATAGGTCACAGCACTAGCAAAACACCATGATGCTTATCAATAGACAGTGCGACCACATATCCCTGGTGCGACATCGGTAGTATCTTAAGCAGAGCAGTCTCCGTACTATGGTGGCGTATGTAGGCTGATTACATGGGTTCACCAAGACCGTTATCGTCAAGATACACACTGAGCTGATTTAACAACTCTTTCTATAACTTTTGAACAGTACTGTAGAATCGAAACTGGGCGGAAGTGAATTATTGTCCAGTGATGATTTTTTAAGAACAGGTGTGATGATAACTTCCTTAAAGTTACGAGGAAAACTCCAGATAGCAGGGAAGGATGACGACAACTTTTAGGTGGACATTGTGGATCTCATCCTTGGAGATGAAATTTTGTATATATCGTCCCCAAAAAAATCGTTTCATTCAAGTGCACCTTTAATGGCAAGTTTATAATGAGCTTCCTAATGCACAAGAAACAGAAGTATATAAATAAAGTATTACATGAAAATCAGTGTAGGTGCCATGGATTTGAATCCTATATGAAAATGCACACACACAAAAGAAATTCCATGGTTAATAGTTAAAATTAACAAAATTGGTATATACGAAATAACACATGCTGTAGGTTCCGCGTATACCACATAAGTCGCCGTGGTCTAATGAGGATGGTACTCACATTAGTGATAGCGAGAGGTTGCAGGTTCGAATCCCGCCAGACACTTTTTTTTTCATGCAACTGAATAAAGGAACCTTTCGTTGAAAGGCTATGCTTGATGTGATTATAACACATTGTAACCACTCTTTTCCACCTTTTTCTCCAGTTCTTATATATTCAAAAAACTTTATCTCATTAACCGATCCCAAGCTTTTAGTGTATGCTTTTTGTGTCTTAGAAAAGTCGGTTATACAAAATATAAATTTTTCCCTACGGAGACTGGCTTTAACACATGCGCTTTCTGGGTCCTAGACCCAAATGGGCCCCGCAGAGGCTACAGGGCCTCTTTTAGGCTATATAGTCCTACTAATAGGCAAAGGTACAATGCAGATAAAATTAGATTAGTAGTGAAATCAGTGATGCCCTTTTATATTGAGCACGCCTGCACTGTCGCGAAAATTCGGGTACCATCGAGAAATTAGGTTTCAGACTTAAAGTTCACATCATTCCACAACGTCAGGGGCTGAAATGAACCATCACATCCCATCCCATTGCATCTTCTGAAAGATGCAATGGGTTCTTTAAAGTGCACACGAGCCAGATGTATACACTGGACCTCCATTTTAAGTCCTTATCCAAGAAGACTTGGTTCTACCAACCGAACCATGGGCGAGGAGCGGCTGGAACAGGCACCGATGTTAAGGCTGCAGCTAGCGGCGCCCCTCATGCCTTACTGCTTGGCCACTCGACTCGCCCGTAGGTGGGTGTTCTACGTTCTATTCCCATACGAAAAAAAAAAAAAAAAAAAATTTAGTACAGTAAAAAAAAATTCTGCAATTTCTGACGGTTTGCCAACAATACGAATTTTAATACGAAAGTTACACTATACAATCCTATCTAATACAATTATTTCATCAAAATTATTCTGTTACAAACTTAATCCATGCCAGACCAACTTACCACCAAGAAGTGACTAGCATTTTTACAATGCAGTGGCCTGTCCAAATTTTCAAATTCTATTTGACAAAAACATGTAACATGACATGCCAAAATATGGTTATGACATCACATCATTGACCATATATAGGCACATCATAACTATATATGGTCATAAAACAGTTTTTTGTCAAAGAAAATGTGATAATCTAGGCAGCTTTAGAGTGTTACTACTGCAAAAAGTAAACATGAATATAATTCGTACCACATACTAGGGCAGTTGTGACTGTCCCACACATAAATATATTTTCCAGATTATATTTACATGTAAAATGGGTCAAGATTTCCATAAATTCCATCCACATATTTATAGTTTTTATGCACAAATACATATATTTTTATTTGCATGTTAAATGGGTCTGGATTATTAAGGCCCACATTACTGTATATAGTTACTCTACATCAAATAGGTCTGGATTTTTTAGACAAGTCACCTTTAGGTGTCAAATGGATCTAATTTTTGTTAATATTACAAATCTTAAAAATGGGTTTGCACTATTTCTTTTACAAGTAATAGGTCCATTTTAAAACATGGATCAATATAGTCGGACTTGCATATAAAATAGGTACAGATTATAAAAATGAGTCTACATACTATATTTGGTACTTCAATTGAAGTGGGTTAACTTGATAAAAAATTAGTTTACATTACTTTTTTACAAGTAAAATGGGTCCACTTTATGAAAGATAGGTACACAAGTAATATTTAGGCTGAAAATTTGTAATTTATTTAATGAGTCTATATTGTTTTTTTTATTTTTTGTTAGGCATGAAAAAGATGGTTCAATGCTAGTTATATTTGTGCATAAAATTGGTCCAATTTTTTAAAAAGAGTACGAGTTAATAGTATACACATTATTTCACAATTTTTCTATTAATTAAAGTTTGACCTACATTACTACTGTATAGTATAAATTCTAGATATCCTACATTTAAAGCAGGCAAATTACTAATCGTACATTTAAAGACAAAGTGACAAATGAGTAATGATTAACCAATAATTTATTCTTTAAATTTTAGAATCACATTGAAATAGCTATTAGGTTATACTACAAATCAACAAATGATAATCTCTATTGAGATTAACAGCAATTTTAAATATATACTGTTTTAAGTTTTTTTTAAATAAAAAGTTGTCATTCGCTACAAAGTGGACAAAACATGTTTTTTGGCACATTAAATGGCACTTACAATTCTACAAAATTTCAATTTTTTTTTCATCAAATTCACATTCATTTTTTCAGAAAATAACACACTATTAAGCACATACATTAAGTATCATCATATCTACAAATAATATGTTTCATCATCAATGGTGGCACCAACTGGCCACATGGGGGTTTGATGCCCCCAAAAAGGAGGCTGATTTCTCACACAGAAGAATAAGTTGACGACGCCAATGCTCCCCCACCAGCTCCACCAGCTCCACAGACATCATTCGTTTTCACGCATTTTGTTTGTTTTTTTCTCTCGTCCTCTCTATAGCATGCTGCATCCCTTTAAGAATATTTTTCTTCTTCCAGTTTTTGTCATTATTCCAATTTTACATCTTGTTCAGTTTTTTCTACTTTATTGCCAGCCGCTTCTTCAGCACGCTGCATCGCTTCAACGGCAACAACGCATTTCTTGATCTCTTTGCCTATAGCCGCGGCCATTGGAGGAGGCACAGCATTTCCAATCTGAAACAACAATAAGAAAATAAAACTTGTCAAGTCAGGCAATCACTGCATTGTACAACGGTCGTACAATGGATCCAACTCTGCTTCCTCTGAGCGTTAGACAACACGACGCCATCTGCTGTTTGTCGGCGGCAGTCTGAATGGATTGCGAGCGCTTCCTGGCATTGGGTTCTTCATAGAATCGCTTCAGTGCAGTAAGTCCCCGGCAAAAAGCAGTTATTAACATGTGTTGAATATCAACTATAATGTACTTCTTTCTTCTTTACCAATCCAAGTCCTACGCTCATATCATATACAATATCAGTGTCAGACTACCAAAGCACGGGCAAGGGTTAACACTTAAAAATGGGAGACTGACTTGAGAACACTGTGCATTGTAGTCATTAGTGAGTTAAGTGGCCGAGCAGTCTGGCGGTAACCGCACCTGTTATTATTGGTTTGGCCTTGAATTATACTCCCTGCACTGGAATCCAGTTGTACAGTACGAACCCAAGTCTTCAGTGCAATTGACACGTTGTAATCTTAGGCACAGTGTACACAAGTGGCTCATATGCACTTTGGTCTACACCAGTGGTTCTCAACCATTTTTTGTATTCGTAGACCCCTGGGGACATTTTAAGTCTTCACAGACTCAACTGTTTTTATTATTGATACGTTTTCCAATGATTAGCAGGGGTCTCAAGTCTCCTGGAAGTCATGGGAGTCTCCCAAAAATCGGGTTAGCCCCGTGCACTCCCGCAAGCAAGAATCTCCGGAAAGTAACCCATCTCCCGCATAATATTTGCATGTTTTCAATAATTTATTATCACTTATCTCACAGAAGTCAGTCCCGGTGGGTATTACCTTGCATAGCAAATCAAAATTAAAATTAAGTGAATTTTTTCCAACTTAGGATCCCTGGATTAGCAGTGGTAGAATTAGATGTTTATTACACTGCTGTAAGTAAAAACCAACAACATAAATAATGGAATCGTAAAATAAATGGTCTAAAAGTCTTGAAGACCCAAGTGTTTCTCTTTATTTTCTTGTATACCAAAGCTTCTTAATCCAAGTTTCATAATAAATACAAATACAATAAAATATATTAATGCATAATTAAATAAAAATGCTGTTAGAAGAAGATACAAAGTTTATATTGTTTAACCTGAATGGCTTGTTTCTTAATTTAATTTAATTTAAATTTTATTTTATTATTATTATTATTTTTTTTTCGATGATACATGGTCTGAATACTGTCAGAGCCTTCAGATGATTTTATTGTGGAAGACACTCAACGAATACTTTACCATACCATACTTAATAAAAAATACAGTTGAAAAATATATTGGAAAAGAAATCTGCATCTACAGTAGGATAAGGGCGGATAAAAAGAAAAATTATTTTGGGGGTCTAGCTCCTGTTTCCTCCTTGGATGTGCCCCGGCTAATATATTCAGACAGGAGATTCTGTGCAGATATACTGTACAGCAGAAACAGAATAATTCAACAAATATATCAGTTTTGTATTATAAACCATATCTGTAGTGTACTAACAAATTTAAATTATGAGCGGAAGATGCTAAATGAATGAAAAATTTACCAAAAGTAGGTCAGTTAAAACGTCCTAAGAAGCCAGCTTAATATCAACAAAGACAAATATAAAGAATTTTATTAATTACCTGTCTGTGTTTGTCAAGTATTGTGCCATAGAATCTGTAGGTGTCGGGAAATCCCTGTGATCTGGCGCACTCTCGTACACTGACTACACGGTGTTGCTCAGGATGCAAAACACGACCCTTCATTGAATACGGTAAATTTTATACACAATACAATAAATAGTACAAACATTGTTATTTCCCTAATTATTTGGTATTGTTTTCTACATTGTATGCTATGTTGTAAAATCCAATATTAGGTAGTTTTCGTCGCACGACGTTAACCCATGATGTTAACCTTAACGTTAATGGATAACGTCATAATTTACTCATGTTGCGTTGCGGAGTACGTTAATTTCAGGATTTAGGTTCTAGATTTTCAAGTTAAGGTTAACGTCGTGCGGCGAAAACTACCTATATAACCAATCAATAATTTTTTTTTATACAACATTGATGAATTAGTATTTTGTGATGTGAAAATTGTTTGTGTTATCTTACAGTGTGATTTATTTATTTGTCTAACACAAGTAAAAAAAAAAACATGGTTCGAAACTGTAGTTAATAATACATGCAAAACATTGCCTAAAACCTGTTACTAAAAATATAGAAAAAGGTAATGTTATTGCTTAAAAAAGAATGGCCCACTGTTAATGTCTCGAGAGGATCCATAAAAAAGGAAAAAGAATAAAATAATAAAATAAAATAAATAAATAAATGAGTAAGATATTTAAATAAATAAATAAATAAATAGATAAACAAGATAAATAAATAGGATGTACGGAAATGAACAGAATTCAGTTTAGGTACAGACTTAGATAATGTAAATTTAGATTTCTTTTAAAAGATGATAGGCTAGTGAAATTGGTAGGGTCAATTTGGAGGTTATTCCTGCAATCGTCACAAACAATTGACTATTATTGAGCCTTACAAATGGAATGTATAGCCTGCCAGTATTTCTTAAATTATATTGAGTGGTATGGCTGTTGCTACTGAACATTAGGTTAATGGTTTTTGGAAGTGTGCCTTTAAGTAGCTCATACATGAATTTTGCAACTTGCAATTTATGCAAATCATAAATTTTGAGTAGTTGAAGTTTTTTAAAAAGTGGCTCTGAAGGTGCTAAGTAGTGTGAATTAGTGATGACCCTTAAAGCGCGTTTTTGTAGTTTCAGAAGGTTGTTAAGATTAGAACGATAATTAGATAAACTTGAGCAACAATATCCAAGGGGTGGAGTAAAATAGTGTTTATCTTCTCATTCTACCATTCTCTGTGCACTATCGGCTTTGGAATCATTTGTAAATTATTTGTAATTTGAATTTGACTGAAAACAATATTAGCGTGTCCCACTTGCACAGGAAATGAGCTCTCCACACATACACCTACAGATACAGTATGCAGGGGCAAAGGCCTAAAATTTCTTGGAAACTGCCAACGTTTGGGGCAATTTCAGTTTCCAGACAATTTAGAACAGTTTACGGCTGTTCCAAAGATGTGTCTAAACAGCAGAAACATTCTGAAGGAGCTATGCAAACAACACTTGCACTGTCAGTTTAGAAATTAAAACATTTTTTTTTTACTTGACTCCAGTCTGTGTCTGTTACATAGTCTACATTATGATCTGACATTGGGTGATGTTTAGTATAGCTTTACCATTTAGGTTTTGTCTAATTGAGCCACACCCATTAGAAAACAGTCTGAAGCACTTTACTTTTTTTTAAACTAATAACCTATATACTGAAAGTTTTCAACTTATAACCAGAACCTAGAAAAATTCTACGTCACTGCACTTCTATTAGCATCTTTCTTTTTTTTTTTCAATTTGAATTACTAGTTCCTGGAAAATAAAGCTTTTAAAAATGTATTAACCTACTTTATCCATACCACATTTGGTATTGCTCGATAGCTGATTTTGCTGAATAGAACATTATGAGGAAATCCATCCCCTGCTTGTTTTCTATGATTCAGTTATATTGTTAATTTTCATTTTAATAACTTTTTTCTTTTATCAATCATAATACATACAATGTTTTAAATAGTAACTGTAAAATTTCACACATAAAAACAATATTATTTTGCATAATAAAAGCAAAAGATAATGTTACCTGTTTGCCCATAGGTTCTGGGTTAGTGACGGTTGTGCTAAAGAATCCGTCCCATTCCAAACGACCATAGAGTCCAGCCCAATGATTGTGGCGGTTACCAGTGTGTGGTAGACACCAAGGTATAAGTGTATTGAATTGGCGGAAAACCGGATCACAACCTTTGGTTTTCGATTCCATACACTGGCAGACTCCACGCAAAGATCCTGTTGATGATGTTCCATTCTTCTTATCATTATGCGTGTATCGCCTTCAATACAAACAGATAACAACTAATTGAAATATGCAATTTCATACTTATTCTATACTACAGTACTTATATAATTTAGCAAATTTTAGTAGCCCAAATAATTCAGATCATTCTACATTTTTGCAAACCACTCGAAAATGAATGTCTAGCTTAGTGTCTTTAATTGTTAATGGCGTTGACACAAGGAGGTAGATGCACCTGCAAAAATGAATAGGTGTAAAATACTCTGTATAATATAATCTGTGGCCATCCTTGAAGTTTACTTAAATTTTGAAATATTAACTCAAAAGATTTTAATTTTAATTTTCTTTAGATAAATATAGTAATAACAAATCAAGCTAGATATTGAATATTCCAATTGTAGTTACTAAAATATTCAGACACAAAATAAATAAGAAATTAAATATATTTTTTTTATTTATCTTAATTAACAGAGAAAAATGCATTCTTTTTTTTTTTTTAACATTGTACAAAATAGAATAGTAATCAACCTACAGTTTTTGGCAAACATTTCCATCTGGGAGAGTGATGACAATATTAGTAAGATCACGCCAATCTGAGCCTGGGGCCAGCGGAATGTGTCGCATTCTCATGGCTACTAGAGGGCTCATCTCTTTACAGATGTGATCACACAGGATTGGCTGGTATTGGTTACCACGGATCTAATTAAAAATGATAACATTTAAAAAAAAATTAAATATATTTATACTGATACATTTCACAATAACTACAACAATAATAATAGTATCAAGAGCTATTTATAATTTTACTGTAATTTTTTTCACAAGAAATCATTATTAATATTATTGTATTCAGTGATGTTTATTTTATTTTACATTGAAAATAAATTAAAAATTGAAAATATTAACTCCAAAAAATTAAGAAATTTTATTAAAACAAGATTAAGAAATTCTGTATGAGCAAACAACCAGGTTTTCATAAAATTGCTTTACTGTTGCTACAACATTTTTACTGCAATCATTATGTTGTGTAACTGTCCCTCATGCAATCATAAAGGCTCCCCGACCAATCAACGTCATCAAAAGCTCTTGAACATGATAGCGTGTAGCAGTTTTATAGAAACCAGGCTTCAGATATAGAGGGCTTCAATATGCAAAGAAGTTACCTTTCTTTGGAAATCAGATTGTGGATCTCCGCCATACGACATTTCTTGCTTGTTATGTCCGTTGGTAATTTCTGGTAAATCTGACATGGCATCACGAACAGTAATTGTACGATATGGAGCTGATGTCCATTTAGTTGTACTTTCATACTTGCGCTCGTCAATTGCAACAGAGAGTTGACAAGCACGTGGAGCAAAGACGTGAGTTGGCTCTGGGTAGTACGGAAGTTTCTCGCCGGGAGCAGCTGCGAGTATGATTGCTCGGCGTCTGGTCTGTGGGACACCATACTGTCCAGCCTGGAGGACGCCAAATGTGCACTGAAAGATAATAAGAAGAAGGATAGAAAATAGACAGAACTTGGAGGCAACCCCAAATATTCAGGTCCCAAATGTGGACCGCTAAACTCTATGGTCAGATTTAGCTGATATATATTTAACTACAATATTTTAATTGAACACAAGCCAATAAAAATTTCTATGAAAGGTATATAGGAACTATAACTACTTAGTGAGAAAATATTCTTCCATCATTTTCTTACTTATTTAGGCACACACACACACACATGTACCATAATTCCTCTCTTTGATTTAATCTCACAACTTGCAAGTGAAAAGATCACCAAGTGTTTACAGCACCCACGGGGCAGTAAAAAAACCATAATGAACCTTATTGTAATCATCCTTCTTTAATTAATCTAAAAGTTTTTTCTGATACCATACCTGATATCCCATACGGATGAGGCATCTCAGCGTTAACTTGAGCACCATACTGCGCTTATACGACACAAAATTACGAACGTTCTCCAACAGGAAGTATCGAGGGCGGTAGTAATCACAGTAACTCAGGTATGTTGATATCAATGAATTCTAAATAGTAATAAAACGGAAACAAATATTTCTATGAGTATGATAACAATTTAAAATATTTTGAAATTGGTATATATTTTATCCTCCAAAAATCCCAATATTGAGGAATTTAAACGGATAAGAGGGAACAATTTTCTGTAGAAAAACAGCAAAACATTATGAAACTCTTACTTTGAACTTAGAATATTCTCTAGAGTTGAATCGGTTCATACCACTGAAGCCCTGGCACGGGGGTCCTCCGCAAAGCAGTTCTACTTCACCCTTCTGTGGCAACCTTTGACCTGTGTAATTAGTTTTTTCACCCTTCAAATAGAAATTTAAAAAACATACTTTTTAAGTAAATATTGCCCTTAAAAATTCAGCTCTACAGTATTGTGTATAATAATCTACAATATAATAGCACTAATAATAAATGAACAGGAATTTTTTGTTGTTGTGCATCTGAGCTTTATAAAATGTGAGCTCTCACCACAAAATGAATGTCATGGTTGGAAAATAAAAAATAGAAGTTTATAGCATAATTGGGTAGGATCAAATAATGAGCTTTAATTTGGTCTTTGAATGGCTTTCCTAGGATAAGAAGATCTAGATGTAAGCATATGAAGTTAGGTGTAAGAGAACTAAAAATAACCTGTACAAATAATAAGACTAGATGTACAGAATATGGATTGAGAACATTTTCATAGTACGGAAATTCACTTAAAAGGCAAACTTTTATAAACTGACCTGATTTATTTGCATCTAAAAATTAACACCATTTACAACGTAAAAAGCATTAACACACATTGAAACTAGACCATTATTTTTTTTTAGAATTTTCCCTCTTGTACAAGTACAAACATACTTTCTTGAAATTTTAACAAGTCACCTATCATCTCAATGGTGTGCCTAATAAATTGGTGGGAAAATATGGGAATGAGTAAATTCGTCGCTGGCAATGTGATAGTACTTTCTATAACCTCTGCCATGTGAGTTTTTTCGTCCGATTTTTGCATGGCTTGGTATATGTTCAGAGGGTACCCCTCCACCCCAACCTGTGTAATCTTTTGTACTGCCAGCAACATAACACAACAAAGGCAATAAAAAGCATGGTAGCAGGGCTGATGAAAATAAAAAGGGTTTTTAAATTATTTTAGTGGGACGTAACAAAATGCTGTACTTAGCCCACTTGTGGTTTAAAAACTACATTGGAAAGTGCAAAAGACTTACATCATGCTGAATATAACAGAGCGTCAAAGTAAATTTTGAAAACACTAAAGGCCGCAAAATGCAAAACCTTTCCAAAGTGCTTGACATTCGCTAAAAATGTTTCAAGTTACATTAATTTATTATTCTGTTTTGATAAAATCTTTTACTGAGGCAGCGGGCGAGCTTTTAAACCAAGAATGTTAGTCGGGCCGTCAAAAAGTGTTTTTAAATACCTTTACCCACTTGTGGTTTTAAATGTACTGTGGAAGTGCAATAGACCTGTTTTTTAATACGACAAGGAAAAAGAAACCAATTGAGACAAATACCAACAGTTCCTACCACACTAATCGGTGGTGTTCTGCTCCGACCAGCACTCAAGATTTCCGAGCAGAAGTACCAAATTATTGAAAATCATTAAAATCCAAATTTGATAAATATTTAGAACTTTGACCTACAGAATTTTGGTGAATATCTCAATATAAATTCTAGGGATATAGTTATGGTGGGTGTAGCCACCCAGCCTTGAAGTTTTCCACCCAGTCTAAAGCTAATTTTATGGCCCTCCACTCTTAATAACCCATTTTTCCATCCACTCTTATTATTTAGAGTTTTTTAATGATCATCTACCCACCCTTAAAATGTATATCTCCCACCCTTAGTTTTCTACAGCTACAAGCTCCTAAAGTTTTATAAATCCCAAAAATTATAGTGGTGGACGGCAAACTAAAACTTCTGGTAAGAAATCTTGAGTGCTAGACGGGGCAAACCATCGCCGGTCAGCGTGGAAAGAACCCTGCGAATTTGTCTCCATTTATTAAGTCTCTCTCTCCTTATATTCAAAAGCGGCTTTATTGCACTGCCACAATAGGCCTACATTTTAAACCACAAGTGACCAAAGTGGAGCCTGACAGCTTTTTGTTGTGGCCCATTAAAGTAATTTAAAAACTATTTTTTCACGGCCCAACTACCTTTCTTGGCCGTACTTACGGCCCGCTACCTATTATCAGCAAAAGAAACAGAATAACACAATTATAATGGAATATAACTTGAAACACTTTTGTCGAATGTAAAGCTTTTAAAGGCACATTGGAAACATGCTGACAAAGATAAAAGAATAAAGGGTTTTGCATGGTGCAGCCTTTTGTTCATGAAAATTCACTTCGACCTGCTGTATCAAATTAAATATTAAGTAGGTGAATTAGGTTAAAAGCCTGTTTGTGTGGCCAACTGCCAGCCAACAATAAGTAGGTTCACTGCACTTCTAATTTTAAACCATAATTGGGCTAAGCACAACCTGACAGAAATTTTTTAAGTAAAAGTAATTAAAAAAAATCCTGTTTGGCTTAAAAACCCACTTTTAAGGAAAATGCCTATTACCAGTAAAGATCATAGTAGAAAAGAATAATATAAAAGATTTTTTGTGGTGCAGCCTTTAGTGTTCATTTATCATCTGTATCATATTCAGAGCATGTAAGTAGGTTAATTGCACTTCTTTCACTGTATATTTTAAACCACAAGTGGGCTAAACGCAGGCCAACAGGACAGCACTTTAAGCAACCCACTGCGTCTTTCGGAAGAGTAGGGGTTTACCCCGATGCTGTGGTTCATTTCTGCCCCTGTTGTTGTGGAATGATGTGAATATGTAGCTAGTATAAGTGTCTCTTGTCATGATACAAACTGATGTTATTGTTTTTTAGTAGTAATTCCAAAAATGTACAGCATTCATTTTGAAAAGAAGCTCCCTCTGTACTTTGCAAAAGTAGCCTCGAAAAGAAGCCCATCTAAAATTCACAAAAAAATAGAAGCCCAAGGCTTCTATTCAAGGTTAAATGGTATTGGAAAATTAATTCTTTTGGTGTTCATGCAACATTAAACTTTTAAAAGCCATAGTTCTAAATAGTAATTTTTTTTATAATTGTGTTCAACTACCCCACAAAATGGAACACACAAAAGAGAGACCCTGACTATAGTAGATAACGTACCCTCTCCTTGAACTGTATAGAGTTTGTTTTCTATACACAGTAGTCAAGTTTTGCATGAATGATTTTGTTGCCTTTGTCTAAAACAACTTGTTTTTTACAGGCCGACGCCAATCATCTGTCGTTAAAACTGAGAATAAAGTGGTATAACAGCAGTGCATGAAGGATTTTGGAAGCACACTGTAAAAATCGAAGTTTGATTGTGGCCCTCAGTGGTAAATCAAAAACTCACTTTGGCTCTCCAACCGATTTCACAGACCCCCATGTCTACAGTAATACTCATTGTCAATATTTCAATAATAAGATTACAGATAGATGATTCGCCACACAAGTACAACATTAAACAGTGGCGGGTTCTGGAATTCAAAATAGATTTCGCCCATAACGTTACAGAAAGATGGACAAGACTACCTCAGTCCTTAAATTTTACTGCGGCCATTGCCGATAGTGCCCTCCCAGTTGGCCTTGGTGCCCCTGAAAATGAAGCACAACGACAGCTGCTACTTGCCTGCCCTTTTGCAGCCTTGGCCTCGGTGCCCTCACGACGCTTAATATAGATCGTTTGACACGTAAATAAATCTAAATAAGAACGTTCAAATCTTGAAAGAAAACACGAAAGCCAAAAACGTAGGTCGCCTAGGCCTAGATAAGGTTACAGTGAGAATTTCCATGTGTGGTGATACAAACTGTTTTTGGGGTTACCGTTGTGTGCGCATGTGTCTGACTCGAGCATGTGCAGAGCTAGCTAGCCGATCTGACATCATCGCAACTCAAGCATGTGAAATTAACTTAATTGGTTGACAATCGGTCAATCTAGTTAATGACAGCCAGTTTAGAGGTGCGGCCTCCTCTCGGATGACGACACACTGAGCAACATCATCGGATATTAAACTTCTTGAACTTTGACTTTTTGTATACGATCGCCGACCGCCGCAAAAAACTAAAAGTATATTCCAACATTGAATTGATAATTAATAGTTAATACTCTAAACAAAGTCATTTTACCATTGACGACAATGGCTTGGCCTAGCCTGCCAAGGCCTACGCCTAGCCTCGCCACGAATTAAGGCACTCGCAAGAGATTAGTAATGAGGCTAAATCAAATTTTGGACTTGGTGCCTTTTCATTTGGCATTGGTGCCTTTAAAAATCATGTCATACCGGAGGCAGGGGTTTCCCTTAAGGTTTTTCTTAACTAGCCAAGTGGACCAGTAAACTAATATTTTTACTGGTCCTCAGTCCCTTTCACTAGCCACTATCTTGCCAACTTCGAAAGGTCCAAATACCATATTTGTGACATGCTAATCATGCTGGCCATCATGAAGTAACACTGACACTGTGACAGATACAGAAAAATTGTTCTGTTGTCTCTGTATGAAATTATGCCGCGAAATATAAATACAGGAAACATACGATGTTCAGTACGATGTTTGGTTTTCCGGAAAGATCGGTTTGTGGAACATTTCTATTGAATCCTTTCCGAATAAGGTAGGCCAGTTAGGGCCTAGCCTAGACGCTATATAGGCTTAGCATAGCCCAGTCAGTGAATTGGGTATGACTAGCCTACGAAAAGTTAACATATTATTTAACATCCCTTATTGAACATATAATACGTACAGTACCTGTTGTTTAGCTGTGTGCACAGCAAATTGATTTACTGTACCAATAAAATGAATGCTTTTATATTGTTTTTACGGTCTGACATTTTTTTCTAAACTGTAAACACAACACATTCTTCGCGGTCACGATGCGAAATGCACTCTGCCCGCTAATTGGTGAATTTTTTTCATGGGGTCACGTGGCTGGGCAAAAATCCCATGTGCTTGGCTGTCATGACTTCTGATCGCCCAAAGTTTCATAGTGCGTGACAGCTAGCTTGCTGAATTTTTAATTAAACAAATTTATTAAAATAAATAAGAAACCCTCATGTTTTAGAGTCAAATCTAAAATAAATCTTATTCAAATTTAAATGTCATTCTCTGCAAATTTCCTCCGTAATTAGCAATGTTTTTGGGGAATGTGAGTGTAATTTACATGTAGACTGATATATGAATCTAATGACATACCAAATCCGAATT